GTCTAGTTCGAGTGGGTTCTTCCCGTTTGAGGGGGCTAAGACCTTACAAGAATAAGGGGGCCCTTGCTTTAACTCAGCGAGATCAATCTCACTTTCGTCGAAGTTTGAAGGCTCATTATATTGTCCCCCATCATCTTCATTAAATTCGACATAGGCCACCCTCTTGTTTTTATTTTCTTTAGCTTTTTCCTCCTTTAAGCGTTCTAATTATCGAACCCTATCATTCAGTTGGGCCATATCTCTTAAGTACTGAGTATCTAGTTTCTTTCTAATAGAATAGTCTAGACCTCCAATGACCATTTCGACCAATTCGTGCTCTGGCACTTATGTGAAACACTTGGCCTTAAGTAAACAAAATCTATTCAAATAATCATCTATTGGCTCAGTAAACTTTCATTTGATACCGACTAATTCCTTCAAGCTAATCTTGGTTTGTCCCATAAAAAATTGTTCATGGAACAACCTTTCTAACTGAGTCTAGTTATGGATCGAATTTGGTGGCAAGGTTGTTAACCACGTAAAAGAATTTTTGGTGAGAGAACTTGGGAGATATTTTATCCTAAGATTTTTATTATTCGAAATCTCTCCAGCCTCTATCAAATATCTAGCCACATGTTCTACAGTGGATTCAGTGGTATCACTAGAAAACTTAGTGAACTTAGGAACTTTCCATCTAGGGGGTAGGTCTGATTGTAAAATATACTCTGATAATGGCGAAGTATAGTTTGGTCTCTGAAGACCAAAGTTTACCCTATTTTGCACCATTATCCTTTCGACCATGGATGCTAGATTGTTATCCGCGACCATATCATCACGTCGAATCTGTTGTACAACATCATCAACATTCTGGTCCCTATTCACCATTACTACCCTAGGTCTCTCCTCAATGGGAATTTGTGGTTGGGCTCTGAGAGGTTCGATTCTAGGCTGTTCGACCGCTACTCTTGCATTGGCTAGATTTTCCTGGGGCGGGTCTCTTTGATTTTGTTGAACCTGATTAATAGTAGGATCTTCTTCGAGGACTATTCCCTGATTTTCCAATACGTATTCTTTCTGCAGATGTCGAGGAGGTTGTGGCACTCCAAAAAAATCTGCAAGGTGTGTCATCTGCGCTGCCATTTGTTGGTTGGATTGAGTGGTGCTTTGTATTAGGGGATTAAGAATCATCCCCATTGTTTGGGCCAATAATTGGACCATTTCATGGTTACTCCTATCCATTTGTTGCCTAATAGCTGCTGCACAATTATTGGTCAAGTTTGGCATTTGGGTGGAACAACTAATTCCTAAAGGTTGGCTATTTGAACCCATGTTTATCCCAGATCCTGATCCTTGCAATGGCGAAGTAACATTTATTACAAGTTCTGAGAATGTTGAGACGACGTTATGAAAATTTGCCATCATGTATGTTGGCATTCCATAAGGTTGATATCGATTGCCTAAGGGCATAGAGAAACCTGGGGGCATGAAGGGCTTATTCGAAGCTTTCCCCATTGGTGGATGGGTTATTGGAGGGCCCTTTGGCCCAGTATAATTTAGCATGGGCTCACTATGGGTAATCGACTACGTCGGCATTGAACTTGCCATGGATGACATTGGTTCTGACACAGTCGTTGGGACCGTTGTTCCCCCAATCGAAGTTAACTATGGCAGTTCTTGATTGTTACTCGATGAACTTTGAGGAATTGAAACATTTGGCTGATTTGAATTCACCATTCTCCTAGTATATCTTCTCCTTGGTCTATCCTCGTTACTGGTGGCTACTTTGCCATTTCTTAATAACATACAACGAAGTCTTCAAAAAGAAAAAAACAACAAAATGAAATTGCAAAAAGAACACTACTAGCACTGTCCCACCAGGTATACCAATTTGTTTACTGTGAAAATTAGTAAATAACCGCTGGTCTTTCCAAATCGAAAAAGAATTGGGTTACGTACATAATAGACCATACAAATCCTAAGACATGTGCTAGTAAATCTTAAATTAAAGTTTGGAAAATGGTGAATATTTTGGCAATACTCATGATCTAACAATTATCAACTTCGAAATTTAAAGGAAGTAAATTTCAGAAACTTAATCAAAAGCAATTAAACACATTGAAAATAACTTGAATAATAAAAAGATAGACTTTGTGGTAAAAATATGAAATTTGCATTGAAGTGTAAAACTATGGTGTTCGTCAAACGCACATTTTTTTTGACACACTCTTTTCTCTACACACAAATACTATGAGTAATTTTAGAAATTTTGTACAACTTTAAACACACCGATCCTAACGCTAGGACCTTCTATTTATAATGATAAAAAATAACCAGCCTTAACGGTCTTCTCACAAACAAATGACAAGTGGCACTCGGCATGTCTCATTTCCTTATAAAAGCTCCACATGTCTCCTTCACAAATCTGGATAAGAACAAAAGTTCCCTCCTTTATTTGAATTCAAATCACATGTCAAAACATCATCATCGTGTTCTGTCGAACCAACTTCTAAGACTTTAAAATATTTTTCTTCAAATCTTAATCAGCATATCCTCCTTACACAAAAAGGTAGCTTCGACCAAAACAAGCAAATTTCACAATTTTGTCGAAACCTCTCACCACTTCATGTAACTCTCTTTATTGTTTCCATTAATTAAAAATAGGAGTTGAATTTGGGAGCTAACAGGCTTGAATATGAGATGGAGGTTTCAAATTCAGAGTGGGTTAAGGTGGTGAAAGGATATGTGAGGATCTTTCTTCAAAGAAGGATAAAACTATTGTGCCAGATTCTGACACATCATATTGTTCTCTTGAAGGAGTAGAATTGTGATAAGAGTGTTAAGGTTAAGAGGTTTGTGGTTCAGGAGATTTGGCTTTTGGTAAGGTTTAAACTAATATGGTTTGTTCAAGTTCTGGTTCTGATTGAGCAAGGTTGGTTTGGTCTTATGGTTTATGGGTTTCAAATGATGTACCTTCTAAAGTTATGGATTGAAGATGTATGTCTTCTAAAGGTGATCTTCTAGTATGGTTTGGTAAGATTATGGAGTACACACTCGTTGGTTTTGTTCATATTTGTTCTCTAAAGTGAACTCACCAACTAGGTGTTTGGACAATTCATCTATTACAGATGGTCTTTGGATATTTTCTTGAGGCTTAGATGTTTTTAGAAACTGACTAATGGTTTGGGAGTCTGATTCAATATAATCAGAGTTAGAGTTTGGTTTAGGGGAATGCATGACAATTTTTAAGGCTATAACCATGTCAGGTTTGGGTGAGGGTGTGTGTTCAGAAGAATGTGTGGGTGATCGATGAGGGGTTGGTATAAGGGTTAGAGATTGAGGATATGAAGAATCTAGAACAGAATCAGAGATATGACCCAAAATAATACCTTAGTCTATGCCTATTTCACCTGCTGAGTGCCTTCATAGATAACATACAAGGATTTAAAAATAGTTTTTGCAATAGACTTGTCAATCATCTAGAGGTACTCAGAGTGAGGTAGAGCATATACCAAAATGCCACACACTCTGTGATATTTTCTATAGATCTTCTTTTGAGCATGTTTTAGAGTTTCTTTATCACCAACCGTTCCTACTCCATCAAATGGAATATCAATGCCATCTTAAAGAATGTCCGACAACTCATCATCAATGCTTATGATATGAGTGTACATCTTACTTTTACACCATCCAAACTCTGTAAAATCTCCACTAAAGGTTCGAGGTTTTGAAGTATAATAGTTCGTCTCATAAGCAGTATAATCATAGTTTATATCATTGTTACCACTATTACCACAAAATTACTAAGTTTATATCATAAACTTTAATCTATAGCCATGCACACTTGAAAATATGTTAGTATACCCAATTATTCTTTAAATACTTTGTTATTATCAAAACTTTACAGAAGTGTTTAAGCACAATGGTTGTTGATTTAATGAACAAGTTGACTTAAGGGTCTGAAACTATGAAGCACGAGTATTTCTAAAACGGTGAAGTACAGATATCGAGTACACACCCGTACCGGGTACACGCACGATACTTGTGGTACTTCATTTTTTCTCATTATTTGATTTCGAGTAAAAGTTGTGTTTTTCTCAAATATGAATATATATTATATTTATGTATTTTAACTTCTTTGTTATTGTATCTTAACATTATTTTTTATTTTTTAAAATTTTTATAGTGATATTTGTTGTGAACCTGACAATTTAATTCTCAACGCATACATTTTACAGAAAACTCTTATTTTTATTACCATACTTGTACCTTGATTTTTTTAAAATTGTGGTATCCTGTATTAATACCGTTTTTCGCATTGGATACCTTACTCGTACCTATGCATTATAAGTCTGAGGTCTGTAAGCTCCAAGTATGATAGTCAAAAGATAAGATTTGCAAGCTTCCCTAATATTCTAACTAGGTTAATTGAATTAGTTCTTTAAAGCACGATTAAAAAAATATAATTAAATTTCTCTAAAAATTTTAAAAATATATAATAATTTATAAAATTTTGTAAACCAATAAAAGTGCAATTTAATTTAGAAGTTTAATAATAGTACACTATAGTTTAAAAATGTATTACACATATATTCAATCATAATACTTTAAAGTATTAAATCATATAAATAATTTAAAATTTAAATACTAATTTGACAGAATAATAGTTATTATTAATTTACAGTGTAAAAATAAGTACCCCATTCACTTTTTTTAAATTTAGTTTGTAAAATACAAACGATAAACTAAATTGAACCGGCAGATTATGTTAAAAAACGATCCAAATTTATTCGACCTAAACGGTATTTTTTATAATTTTCAGTTTAGTTTGTTTCGATTAAAAAAATGATGTTTGCTGGTTAAATTAATTAAAAAATAAAAATGTTGTGACAGCGTAAAACTGTGTAAAAGCAAAATAAAGCCGTTAAACATTCATTCACTCATTCTCTACACAGTGAGTGTTGCTTCGTTGTTCGTGAAGAAAACGAAAACCCTAAAAAAAGAGCGAAGTGGGGAAGACGAAGATGAACGATTCATCAAAATCCGAGTACGAAGCTCTCAGAAACGCTCGCATGTCAGAGAACAAGGTACTATCACGGTCAATCAATTAATTTAAATTATTCTTCATTATGATTAATTGATTAATCAGTATAATATTTTGTTGATGAATGAATGAATGAATGAAGGCTAGGTTTGAATCTCTGGGTATTTTGAATTCAGTTTCGAAGCTTCGCGAAATTTCTGCTCTAATAAACAAAAAACGTCCCTATGTCAAAAAGGATTACGGTGTCACTCCCGTACGCAGATCTCAGCGAATCAAGAATGTTGCCGATGGTACCACCACCGCCGACAATCATCAAAGATCTTACAGTAGTTTCAGCTACAATGTTACCCCAAAACAAGGTAGCAAAATAAACCCTATTTTTTGTTTAATTTTATTTTGATTATTTTTATTAGATTTGTTTTTTCGATCAAAATTGTCTCATGTGGTTCCTAATACTGTTGCATGCGATGAGATCATTGTAATTACAGATTTAGGTGAAGAGGGGAAGAGGCCTGCAAATGCACCTTTTGTTGAACTGAATCCGAAGAGTGTAGAGCTTTTTTTTTTACAAGAGACTTATGCACGGCGCTGTGAGTACAAGGGTAGAGGCCGTTGTTACAGTTCATTCTTGGGGATAAGCTGCCATTTTTGCGGGTCCAGATTCTCTTTCACTTTTACTGATTTGTTTCACAACAGGAGATGTTTAACAACCTAGTCTTATGTGGTCACAATGTTTGCTTAGTTTGTTTTTGTGGCTATAGAAAGACATACTTATCACTGTCGCTAAACAGCGGCTGGAATTGGACCGTAGTGTAAAATAGCGGCAATAACAACTATTTTTTGCAAGAAGTGATTGACAACATTAATAAATATAAGAAGCAACCAAGTTGAATTAAAACAAACCAGTTATGAAGAGTGTGTTAAGAGAGTATAGCATTCTTTATAATTGTTGTATTTGGATAAGTAATGACAGCAACGCTATTATGCAAAACATCAATGCAGGGTAAAGAAGTTATGCGGGGAAGAAGATTGCAAAAGATGTGGGAATTGTGATGTGAATGAACCTTGTCTAGGTAAGATTTTAGTAATGTCTTGTTTTTTATTCTTTGCACTGGTTTTCACTTTGTTCTAAGTGATTCACTGCATATTCTACTAAACAGGAAAGACTGATTGCTCAGTGTGTCACTCAAGGCGGGGTGTCTTTTGTAGAGCTTGTCTCAAGATTCGGTATGGTGAAGGTAAGAACAAAAAGCCATGCGCCAAAGAAATAAGAGCCTATTTTGATTGAATTATTTGAAGAGCCTAGATGGTCATGTGTATTTGATATTCCTTATATTGTAAGTCAAATTATCAGCTTATTGAGATAGAATTTTTCATGAAAAACAGCTTTTTTTTTTCATTATTTTCAAATTAGGGTGGAGCAAATATGATACACACGAAAATTTGTTTCTTCTGAAAATTCTAAATTGTATTGATAGTTTGAAACTGTCCATTGTGTTTCTGCTGTAGAAATAGAAGAAGTGAGAGAGAATAAGGAATGGATGTGTCCACATTGCATAGAAGAGAAAGGAATAAACCCTTACTGGATATGTAACAGGTAGAAAGAACTATTAAAATTCAGCTTCTACTTAAGCTTTTTAGATACTCTCAATATACATTTCCTAACACTCTAAAAGACAATTATTTCTGATCTGATTCAAGATGTTGTCTCCATTTTTTTACCTTAATTGGTTTCTAGTTCAAAATGCATGAGGAAACAAAACCTGCAACCAACTGAGTTAGCAATGCACAAAGGTTAGTCTTTCTATTGTCACAACTTACGAGTCTGTTTCGATTGACTTATTTGATAAGCACTTGTTTTTCTTTAAAAAATATAGTTGTGGTTGCGATTTCTGCTATTATCATGTATGTTTTTCTTACTAGTTTTCTTTATTTGACTGAAATGAAGCTCGGGAAATGGGATATGAATCAGTGGCACATCTATTTATGGAACAACTTAAAGGTGGAAACTATCCGAAATTAGACAAGTCTTTATGAAGAACAATTTTCATTGATGTATTTGTTGTAATCGGTGATGGATCAGTATCTGTCTCACATTCATAAGCTTATATTGTAATATGACATTTAATACGCCATTAGACAAGTCTTTATGAAGAACAATTTTCATTGATGTATTTGTTGTAATCAGTGTTGGATCAATATCTGTCTCACATTGATAAACTTGTGACATTTAATACGCCATAAGTTTTCCGAAATTAGACAAGTCTTTATGAAGAACAATTTTCATTGATGTATTTGTTGTAATTGTTAGCTTTCTATGCACAGCAATGGAGATGATACTCTTAGAAAAAGAGAGAAAAGATAGCAGAATATCTCAGAATAACTCGGACTGTGTATATTCATTTAGTGTTTTAGTACAATTATATTATATTTCTACATAGCAGACTAAGACCCCCTAAACATACAGGGCTACACATATGAGCTTTTACAAAGCAGGCCCAATAACAATCTATAGTATTGAATTACTCTTAACATCTTTTCTTAATTCAAAACTATTACAAAGATACAATATTCAAATGTTTTCTCAATTCCTTGAATCACCCGCCATTCAGTGGCTTGGTCAAGATGTCTGCGATTTGTAGTTCAGTCTTGTAGTTCTGGAGCTTGATTCTTCCCTTGCTAACTTGATCTCTAAGGAAGTGGAACTTAGTGTCAGTGTGTTTGCTCTTGTCATGTGATACCTACAGCTCCACATCTTCAACTCTTTGAGAAAGTGGAATTATGAAGTATGTGTTAGAAGTATCGAAGAAATTTAAAATGCTGGGATCCAAGTCAGTAGAAACTCCAGCAGAGGTAAATATAAAGCTCCAAGTCAATTGCTGATTTATTATCTACCAACAGTTCCAAAACTTCTTCATTCCAAATCATCAACTCTTTGAGAAGTGCAGTCAACCACAAAACTTGACAAGCAGTTGAGCATGCTGCTATGTACTCGCTGCTATGTACTCAGCTTCACATGTTGAGAGTGCTACCACAATTTGTTTCTTGGAATTCCAGGATATAGGAGAACTTGCAAGCATAAATACTTGTCCCATGGTGCTTCTTCTGTCAACCATATCACCACACTAGTCAGAATTAGAATAGCCTACAATGTGTAACCTATTTTCTGCTGCATCGTGCCATGGAAACAAAATACCATGGCTCAGAGTTTTCCCCAGATATCTCATGATTCTTTTGGCTGCCACCATGTGTGAGTGTCTGCAATCACTCATGAATCTGCTGACCAATCCCATACTAAAAGTTATCTCTGGTTTGCTATGGCATATGTATCTCAGGCTATCAACCATTTCCCTGAACAATGTGCCATCAACATGTCCTTCATCTTCACCTTTTGTCAGCTTTACATTTACCTCTGCTGGAGTTTCTACTGACTTGGATCCCAACATATTGAATTTCTTCAATACTTCTAACACATACTTCCTCTGGTGCATTATAATTCCACTTTCTAAGTATAAGAACTCAAGGCCCAGAAAGTAGGACAATGTACCTAAATCAATCACTTCAAATTCACTCTTCAGCTTTTTCTTGATCAACTCTATAACACTTGGACTGCTGCCAGTGATGACTAGATCATCAACATACAAACACAACATTGATAATTCATATTCCTCCAAAGTCTGTACATATATACCATGTTCTACTGAGCATTTCTGAAAGCCAAGGCTGTTGAGGTATTAGTCTATTCTTTTATTCCATGTCCCAGGTGCCTGTTTTAGGCCATATAAGGCCTTCTTTAGCCTTAGCACATTTTGATCCCCACCTTTGCACTTGAAACCAGGGGGTTGCAGCACAAATACCTCTTCATCAAGTGGCCCATTTATGAAGGCTGACTTGACATCTAGCTGCCACAGTTTCCAATTTTTTCAGCTAGCTATTGAAACAAACAATCTCACAGTTTCCATTCTTGCTACAAGAGCAAACACCTCATCATAATCCAAGCCTTCTTGCTGTATGAACCACTTTAGCACCAATCTGGACTTGTGTTTGCTATGGATCCATCGGGTTTAAGTTTGGTTTTAAACACCCACTTGACAGTTACAACCCTTTTGTCTTGAGGTAGATTTACCATTTCCCAAGTGTTATTCTTTTCAATACTTCTCAATTCATCTTTCGTTGCCACACTCCATACTTCTTTCTTGATAGCTTCCTCAAAAGATATAGGTTTCATGTCTTCCATAAGAGCCATGTGCTGCACCAGATTTCCTTCTTCTGAAGTATGGCCAACAAAATATACTTGGTAATCTCTGAGGTGTGTTGGAGGATGTCTTGTCCTTATAGGTTTGCCTGTGGCTCTTTGTTCTTCATTGTCTGCAACTTCTTGTTGTATTTCTTCACTTGGACCACCATTTTCCCATTCAAGTTGAATGTTGGAATTGGTCTTGTCTTTTGCTTGAGTTTCCTCCCATGTCCCTGCTTCATCAAAATAAACATCTCTGCTAAACATGACCTATTGTTTTTTTTTAACTGTATAACTTGTATGAGCCAGTTGAGTTATATCCTACAAATATCATCTTCTCACTTTTATCATCTAGCTTCTTTCTCTTCTAATCAGGTATGTGTCTGTAGCAAAGAGATCCAAAAATCTTGAAGTGCTTGACAAATGGTTTGTTACCTGACCATGCCTCTTTAGGAACCATTGAGCTGAGTCTTTTAGTAGGACATCTGTTTAGCACATGTACTGTAGTCATGACGGCTTTACCCCAGAAGTTGTGAGGAATGTTTTTCTCTTTAAGCATGCTCATAACCATGTTTAGAATGGTTATGTTCCTTCTTTCTGCAGTGCCATTGTGTTATGGTGCAGTTACTTCATGTATTATGCCCCGTTTCCTACAGAAATCTTCAAATTCTTCTGATGTAAACTCTCCACCACCATCTATTCTGAGGATTTTGATTTGCTTCCCTGACTACTTTTCCACAAGAGCCTTGAAATATTGGAATGTCTTGTACACATCACTTTTGGCCTTAATTAGGTATATCAAAATCTTCCTGCTCAAGTCATCAACAAAGGACACAAAATACCTATTCCCTCATAGTGATGGTGTATCAAAGGGGCCACAAACATAAGAATAAACTACATTCAACAATTCACTAGATCTACAGTTAATGTAATTGCTGAATGAGTTTCTAGACTGTATGCTAATTAGACACTTGTCACAGATCTTATTAGGTGTCTCAATTAAGGGTAAACCTGTTACCATTCCTTTTGACCACAACAATTTGATATCTTTAAAATTCAAATGACCTAGTCTAAGGTGCCATAACCATGCATCATCATTCAAAGCATCACCAGAGAACCATTGTGTTTCCATGGTATTTAGGCTTGCCTTGAAAGTTCTATTCTTGGCCAGAGGAGCTTTCATCACTATCTTTCCATCTTCATCATAAACCTTCAGAAAACCTTTGTCTGACATAACTGAGAATTCTTTCTTCATTAGCTGGCCTAGACTTATCAGATTTGTGGTCATACCAGGGACATACAACACATTTGTGGTCACCCCTTGTTTCCCATCTTCTCTCTTAATAATGACATCACCAGTTCCTTCAGCTTGAGTAACCATATTATCTGCAAACTTTACCACACTCTTCTTTTCTGAATCAAGGTTTATCAACCAGTTTTGATGCCCTGTCATGTGGTTGGAGCACCCTGAGTCAATGTACCATAGTTCATTATTTTGAGAATCTGGATTGGTAATCATCATCAACATTACTGGTTGTTCTTCAACACATGCTTCTTCTTTGGCTATGTGTGCTTGATGTTCTTGCTGGCTTGGTGAGGCTGTACGCTCAGATGAAAAGTGTCCAATGCGATTGCAGTTGAAACATTTAAGCCTCTTTCTGTCAATCTTCTTCTTTCCCCCTCGTCAATTTGTTGCTCCTCCTCTTCTGCTTGAATTTCTCGATTGATCTTATTCACTCTTCTCTTGTTCTTGACTCTGAGAATTTCTCCAATTCGTGCTTCTGATGTCTCTTCCACGACCCCTGCCTTTCGACCCTAATCTGCCATTGAAACCACCTCTTCTGGGTATGTAAGCTTGCAAAGCTTGATTATAACTGATTTTCTCTGTACTTCCCTCAGTGATTCTTTGCTCATGCGCTTCTAGAGAACCTTATAGTTCTTCAACCTTCATGTCTTCAATTTTCTTGGATTCTTCTATGGCCACTACGATATGATCGAATTTGGGGGTTAGGGTTCGTAGAATCTTTTCAACGATCGTTTTATCTTCAATCTCTTCACCATAATTCTTCATAGCATTTATGTGAGTAGTGGTTCTATTGAAGAAATCTGTTATTTTCTCATTATCTTCCATTTGCATCAATTCGTATTGACGTCTCATTGTTTGTAATCTCACTTTCTTCAGTTTCTCCGCACCCTTGTTACACTTTACCAAGATCTCCCATGCCTCTCGCTGTCTCGCAAAGTTTCAGCTCGTGCAATCTCCTCGAAATGAGCTTAATGAACATATTATTGAATCAAGAATTTCGCTTTACAATCTTTCTTGTTCTCTTTGTAAAGCGTCTTCTGTGCATCTGTGAGATTTTCAGGAAGTTCTGGATAACCATCTTCTACAACATGACTTCTTAGTACCCCAATATCGCCTTCATTTACACTCTCCATCGATCCCAATTCTTTTTGGTGAGGACATGAAGATTTGTTGTAAACGTAGCGCCGATTTGCACCATTGTGTGTATTGCAGTGATCCCTTGATCGAGCCGAGCTCTGGATACCAGTTGTTAGCTTTTTATGCACAACAATGGTGATGATACAATTAGAAAAAGAGAGAAAAGATAGCAGTATATCTCAGGTTGTGTATATTCATTCAATGTTTTAGTACAATTACATTATATTTCTACATAGCAAACTAAGACCCCCCATAAACAATACAAGGCTACCCATATGGAAGAACCGAGGCTCTTCGATCACCTATCGCAAGGAGTTTCAATCCTCCAAAATTGCTCACGTTTATGAGAATTACAAA